CCTGATTCATGAGGTCTTGCCTTGAAATGTCCCTAGAGACAGGACAGATCAAAAAAAAATTTTTTTGGGGGGGGGGGGGGCATTAGGAAGTCCAATTGTAATCCTGACCTAATAGTGCTGAGCACGCAGGCATCCGCTGTTGACTCCTCCCATTTGGAGGCAAAGAAGGCTAGGCGACCTCCGATGGGTGGGGAGAACGAGGGATTACTTAGAGCGACAGCAGGAACGACCCCCACCCTCCTGAAAGGGCTGTTTACCAGTATAAGGAGCTGGGCGATAGTCGGCTCTCTTCCCAGAGGAAGAGAGAATTTTACGTTTATCTCAATGAGATAAGGTTCCAGAGCATTGCCAAAAAGCTTATCACCCGCGAATGGAACTGAAACCAGCTTCCATTTACGGCGTGACTCCACCTGCCAATTTTTGAGCCATAGCAGTCTTCTTGCTGCTACTGAAGATACCATGGCCCTAGATGCAAATTTGGCGGAATTGAGAGTGGCATCTGCAGTGAATTCCGCCGCTGCGATAATCTTATTAAGGCCTTGGTGAGACCGAAGGTCAGATGTAGGCAATCTAATCTGGAGTTGGTGCAGCCACCGTATGGATGCCCACATGAGTGTGCCAGAAAATGGGAACGAGGCCAGAACCGGAATGTCAACAGAAGGCACTGCCAGGGAATTGTCCAGGGCTGCACTGACGTTGTAGAAACGCTTATCCAGAGAAGATGGGTGAGGACCTGCCGAAGGGGAAGTGCACTGTTCCTTGACCATGTCCAGGAACAAAGTGGGAGAAGGCAAAACCCCTGCATGCACTACAGGCTTGGAGAAGAATGAGTCTCCCTGGCTAGAGGGAATTCCTTTTGGCTCGGGAGCCACTTCCTCTGGCGACAGCTTGGCAGTGACCAAGGCCATGCTGAGTAATGGCCTGAAGAGAGAAGGATTGAAGACCAATGCAAAGGATGTCTGCTCTGGGCGAGAGTCCTCTTCCTCTGAAAGATTTTGGTCCAAGGTCTCGCCCTCTTCACGTTCTGAATGAGAGGAGTAACTGTGTTCAGATGGTGAAGCCCTTCCCTCCTCATCAACCTCCTCCCATTCTGGTACAGAAGAATGGACGCTGGGGTCCTGGGGCCTGTGTAAATCAGGGTGATGAGGCAACTTATAGATTGAGAAGGGAGAAGGGCCTGAACCCTTTCCGGAGGTCGAAGGATTTGCTTGAAGCCTTCAGCCAATCCCTGCCTAATAGTCAAAGAGACAACATCTTGGATATCCCCTGGTCTATGCTCAAAGGTAGGGGCAGAAGGCTGAAGGCCCGCTGCTGAGGGAGTGAAGGTGGCTTCAGGCCTAGATTGAGAAGAGGTTCAAGGCCTGGAGGGAGGGGGAGGAGCATAGGGACCAGAAGCCTGTTGGAAATAAGGCCCAGATCTGCTTAGATCCTGAGGATCATTGTACTGCAAAAGCCTCAGGAGACCAGGATGGAGGATGGAAAGGCTCATAGATAACTTCTCCTCCCCTGGGAGGACTTGGCTGGTGCCCACAGGTATCACCTGAAACATGCTGTAGTTGCACTCCCTTCTGTTGAATAGTTCTGTTGAACTGCCTCTCTAGGGCTGCATGTCTGCGCTTTTCTTCCCTCGACTCAGCCTGAGTTGCCTTCTTAGGGGCTAGAGCCTTAGCTCTGATTTTAGCAGCTACCTCCCTCTGGACTGATTGGGTGCGTTGCCTACAACTTTTTCTCTTATTGGCTTAAGAGACTGTTCCACGGG